AAGTTGTGCCTTACAATAAATTGGACAGAGGTGTCCAAATTTCTTGTTCTAGCCATGACTGGAAGTCTGGAACGGTCGGCCTGTATGTAGCCTGTACTCCTGTGGTCTAAGGTCCCATGAGGGGTTTCTTTTTTTCTTTTTTTTTGAGAAACTTTTGCCTGAGGTTTCTAGGAAACAGGCATTTGATGATTTGAATTCAGCAGTTGTTAGTGGGCCTGGCCTACACGAAATACGGACCTGTTCTGGGCTGGATCTGCGCCCACTGCGTGTGTTTCGTTGCGTGCATGGGCGGATCCCCCTACCCATACCAAAGCGTAAATTACTGTAGAGCCTCTATAAATTTTTAGATAAAATTCTATAGTATAGGAGAATTAAGACTTAAGATCGAACAGCAGGGTTATACACCCCTAAAATATTTCCTGATCCGGGTTGCGTGCCGAGACGTGCAGTGCGGCAGCAGCAGCAGCCGTACGACGCGCACGCACCGGCAGCGTCCACATCCACTGACGTCGCGATACCCCAGAATCGAAAAGGTTCGCCACCGGAAAGCTGCGGCGCAACGAGGAAAAGGCCGGGCCTGACGGGCTCGGCGTCACTGGCGCATGTCGGCACGCGAGTGCCCTTTTCTCCGCATCGTCTGGATCGAGAAACTGCCACTGCCACTGCTGGTGCTGGCTGGCTCGCCGCACCTGCACGGCTGCACCCATCACCCCAGGCTGCAGCTGCAACAACTGCAAAGGCGCAACGCAAAGCTGGGGCGTGGGGCGAAGTGGCGGGCAAAAAAGCGCAGCGGCCTCGCTGCCTGCCACCCGATGCACGCCGGCCGCATCGGGGCTTGTGATCCGCCGTCCCCCTGGCCCACTGCTTTGGTCCTGGTAAAAGATCCCCGCCGGTTGGCCGGCGCGAGCGCGATCTCCCCCGCCCTCCGCGCGGCGCGGTGGAAACCGACCGGAGGAAACGGAAACGTCTCGGTAGCCGCCGGTAGGTGCGGTGCAGCCTGCAGCGGCAGCAGAACCGTAGCGGAGGCGGGGAGGGCAACGCCACAACGGCTTGGCCATGCTCGCTTAGTTGAAAAAAAAAAGTCGAAACACAGTTTCAACTGATTCGGTGTGAGAGAAAAATACTGTTCCGGCTTGTACTTCGACGCGTGTTCGCGCCTCGTGCGCCACTGGTCTGGTAGTCTGCCTGAACGCGCCAACCCCGTGACCCGAGTGACCGACGCTGCGGGGCGCGCGTGTGTCATCGCTGCCGCCTGCCAGTGACGCCGCGCGGGTCACTTGCGCACGTCCCTGTCCGGCGCGTCGGTGCCATACCGTCTCAGTCTCAGGAACGCACGAACCACCCTCGACCTCGACTCCCCGAGTATGGGCAAAAGTTGTGTGACGGCTGCGCGTGTACTGGAGAGATGCAATGCGCTGCGCCCGCACCCCGTGCAGATGAGCACTTCGGGTAGTTTTTACCGCTGTTGCGACAGCTCCCGTTGCGGTCGCGGTCGCGTACACAGTACACTTGTCCTGCTGCGATGCGCTTGTGACACGTGCCACCTGGCCCCTGCTACGGCATTGGGTCTGTTCGCTTGTCTGAATTCTGGAGAAATCTGGATGGTTTGGAGGAATGCTGGAGGAATTTGTGAGAGAAAAACACTGTTTCGGATGAAAAAATAAGCGGATCAAGCCGGGTTTAAGGGCATGCGAACGGGGCCATTGAAGGAACACTTGGCAGGGCTTGCAATTTAGGCCCTGTTCGCTGGAGGAATCTGGATGAATTTGTGAGATAATGAACAGTATTTTTCGTCCGCGCACAGTGAAATCCGGCTGGTTTTTCAACCAGCCGAACGAGCCCTGAATATGCGGGCGTGAGGCATCCCGTCGCATTGGATCGGCAATCCGGTTGCACAGGACATGGACGAGGACGAGATGGCTTTTTATGTTGGCTGTGTCGGCCTTGAGCAGAGTTATTGAACTAGCAAAGGAAAGGAGTACCGTGGGCGTGTTTGTTTCCCTGCACGAGAGTGGCTCAAATGGCTGGCCAGAGACCAGCTAGATTGGAACATGCTCACCGTGTGCAACTACTCGTGTTTGTTTTGGTGTATGAAGCTAAGCCAGGCTAAGGACCGGATATTGTTTGGTAGGTTGCACAAGCGAATACAACTACCCTGCATCAGCTCATGGGTAGAGTTACCCCTTTCTTCTTCCTAGCACCTACCACCGAGACATTTGCACAAACACCTTGAGGACATGGACTTCAGCCGGTGACCAATCTAATCCATGGCTGCACCGTAGAGAGAGAGAGAGAGTACAAACAAAGGAAGAGAAGAGAAGGGAGAAGGGAGGGAGCACGTTGTCGTCTTCCCTCAGCCCACGGGGCGGCACCGCCCGCGCCTGCGGCCTGCTCGCCCGAGGCAAAGTGCAATGGGGACGAGGTGCAGGTCGAAGTACCGGTTCTGGATCTCGCCGCGGTGGAGGGGCAGCGGTGCGCCAAGAGGAGCAGCTCCTGCGCGAAGCGGCGAGGACGAGGTCGAGGAGGGGGAAGGGCAGCGGCGCGGTTAGTGGCACAAGGCGGCGGAGGTGCGAGCGGCGGCCTGCTCGCCCGCAACGGCGACGCCCGCCCCTGTGGCTTGCATGGCATCGTGGGCCGCACCCGTGGTGTAAGGAAAATGGACCCTAGGGTCATTTACTTTGGATTTTGGTGTTTGATGACCAACACAATCAAATTGGATAAATAGATTTGCAAGTAATTGTTTTATAGTTTAATAGGATGCAAAACGTGACTTGGACAAAGGCGACGTGATGATCCGATGATCAACACTTCAAGAAAGACATGTGAAGATGCATAGAAGACATACAAGGTCACGCAAAGTCCAAGCATGAAGATTGAAACCAAGCCGGATGCAAGTTCACGAAGAAACGGGCCCGGCAGAGGTGATCGGACGCAGCCCTATGAGTGACCAGACGCGTCCGATCAGGTGCCAGGCAACAGCAGGCGTCGGCAGCTGTGACCGGACGCACCGATGACACTGTTCATCATCACAATAGTGTTTTCAGCGTGACCGGATGCAACACACTAGACGACCGGACACACGAAGTGCAGCGTCCGATCGTTTCCAGAGAGGTTCCAAAGCGGCGCCAGCGCGATCGGACTCAGCCCAGAGTCTGATCAGCGCGCGTGCTCCAACGGTCGGGACGATCGGACGCGTCCGGTCAGGACGTGGTCAGCGTCCGGTCAGTAAAAGAAAAGTGGGTTTCGTTCAGTGGGGCTTATAAATAGACCCCCAACCGACCATTTGAGCTGTGAGTGGAGCTGAGGAAACATACCAAGGGTGTTGATATACTATTTTAGTGATCTTCACTTGCATAGTGCTTAGTGATTCATTAGGTGATTAGCGTAGGTGCTTTGTGAAGTGCTTAGGTTTATTAGACCACCGCTTATGCGCTTGCTCTAGGTTTAGGCCTAGTGTTTAGTGAGGTTTGCATACCTCTTAGCACTCGGTGCTTGCGTACATTATTGTTGTACATCGGAGAGGTTTATAGTCTTGCGAGATCACACCAACCGCGTTTGTGGTGTGACCGCCACCGTGTACCGGAGGGAATAAGGTCCGTGGCGTTTCGGCCAGAAAGCTTGATAGTGAAGACGACAGGGAGCGGTCCGGAAGAGGCTTGCCGGAAGGCACACCGGAGACCCACTTGCGTGTGGAGAAGGCCCGGGGCTATCCACGGAGTTACCCGATCGGGAGCTTGGCCCTTGCGTGAGATTCCTTGCGAGGGGCTCCAACGAGGACTAGAGGAAGCTTGCGTGCTTCTCAATACCTCGATAAAAATACCGGAGTCGTCGACGGGAGTTTACATATCTCTATCTTACTCTTTAGCTTCTGCATTTACATTGTTTGAATAACTCCTTTTGCGACAGAGATAGCAACACACTAGCAAAACCGTAGTTGTACATTTAGATAGTTTATCTTTTGCATATGTTTTGCTAAAAATAGAAAAAGAGGCCATAGTTGAGAATTAGACTTTTAAGTTGCCTAATTCAACCCCCACCCCCCACCCTCCTCTTAGGCGTCACGATCCCTTTCACGTGGCTCGCTCGCCGGCGGCGGCCTGCGTGGTTCGCGATTTCGTGGAGAAGACGGGGAGGAGGTAAGAGGCACCGAGGTGACGGAATCACTCGTTGCTATCTCTGTTGTGCCCGCTCAGGCCGAGCCCGGGAGAAACGAAATTCTTTTTCGTTCCCCCCAAGGCCAAGGTGAGGGGTACTTTAGGGAGCATGTGGGGCTGGCTTCGAAGCCCGTCCAGACAATCAAACAACCATTGTTGCACTCTTAGGGCGCAGTGACCCAATTGGGCTAGGCAAACAAACGCACCCGTATTTCTTGAACTCTGAAGGACCATCCTATTAGTATACTAGTATATACAATTCTTGAAAAGAAGTAAAGAGAGGCCTGGGGCCCTGGATCATGGAAGACACTGCGAAATTTGCACCATCTACCGCCAAATCCTTCCTGCTGCACCGCAAATTGGGCCAACGGTGCGTGGTTAGGGGCGCTAACGATAAAAGAACACACGTGTGTGTGAGAGATGGAGAAGCTTTCCAGCAGTGCAAATCGAATTGGCGGGCAGTGTAATGAAATAGAGAATGGCAAAATATAACAAATGGAATGCCTTTCCACCTCTGAATGACTCGGCATTGCAAAAGGAACAGGAACTAGATATGCATGATCGGATAGGTACTCTACAGACTGACATCACGGGCAACGGAATACAACAGCACGTCAGAAATAACCTGAATCTGAATCTGACGGCGCTACGGAAATAACCTGGGAGTAATTTTCTCCCGCGGGGATAAAAAAAAAAGGCAGCCCAGGGGAAACGTTTTACACGACGAGATTACTCACCAAATTACGCTGCTACTGCTAGTCTGCTACTACCTCGTTACTCCTGCTAAAACAAACTGTGGAGTAATTGGCTGACAGACAGCTGAGAATGTGAGGGAGAAGGTCAGTGCTACAAGAAGATGAAGCACTCCATGGCCACCAACGGGTTGTCCAGCGACTCCTTCCCCTCACCGTCGCCGGCAACGACGCCGGCATTCTCCTCCGGTAGCACCGGCGGCGGAGACGCACAATCCTCAGGCTCGCGTGGCTGCGCCGGCGGCGACAGCTCGGGAGGCGCGGGCGCGGGCGCCTCCTGCCCACGCCGTGGCGACGCGCGGCCACAGGGCCTTACGGGCACAGGCGGCTTACGCTGTGTCCCAGTCCCAGAGGCTGCAGAAGCGGCGCCCGCACGGCGCTGCTCCTGCGTCCGCTTCGCCGCGGGCGACGGGGACCTCCGCGCCGGCCGTTCCCCGGTAATGGTATCGCGCCGCCGCGGCTGCGGCTGCGGCGGTGGCGGCGAGGTGGACGCGCGGCCGCCACCTGGGCGCCCGCCGGCGCCGGCGGCGCCTCGGTCCCGCCTGGCGCCGCGCGCGACCTCGCCGGAAACCGCTGCCGCCCGCCTCCTTGACGCCGCCGCCGCCTTCGCCGGGGACCGTTTGGGACCCGCCGCGGTGGTCGCAGCCGAGGACTCGGATGCCACCTCCGACTTCTCGTCGCCGGAAGGCCCGGAACGCGCCGGCCCCACCGCCCGACGCGCCCTGCCACCGACACCGCCACCGCCATCCTTCGCCCTAGCAGTGCCAGCCTTCGGCTTGGCCGTCGTCTCCCCTGCTTCTTGCCCCGCCGCCGACGCAGCCACGCGCCTCGGCCTGGGCCTCGGCTTGGCCTTCGGGGTCTCCGAGAGCACCTCCTTCACCGTCTCCTCCTCCGGCGGGGGCGGCGGCGGGTCGCGCGCCTCCGACCGACGCCGGGAGGCTTCCCCAGCCGCCACGCCAGACGGCTCGTCGCACTTCTTGCTGATGCAGCAACCCATTGCCTCCCTACTACTCCTGCTTCTTGCTTCTTGCTTCTTGCTTCTTGCTTCTTGCTGAGCTAGGCTAGGCAGCCATTTCCCGCGAGCTGGTGGTGCACTGGTGCTGGGAAGTGGAAGGGAGGGTCGGAAGCAGTGGAGAGAGAACCGAGGGGAGTGTCACCTCTGACTCACTGTGGTGTTGGGTTTCCCTCCCGTTGTGCTTTGAGTTGTGTGTGAGGAGCAGAGCAGCTGTGGTGGGAGACCGGGAGTCAAAAGCGCTGAACCAGTCACTACTACCGACCAACGCTTGTTATATCTGACGAAGCGTGCTTAACTAATCGGACTTACCGGCGGCCGGACGTCAAGTTGTGCCATGTTGAGAACGTGTATCATCTCTTTTTTTAAAAAAATAGGATGAATATTTGACTCTAACTGAGTTTTTTTATAATAATAACTATCAAGAAAATATTCGTATAACACCTTTTGAGGCCATGTGTGGCAAAAAATATAGAACACCTCTTAACTGGGTTGAGAAGTGGGTGATCGTGGTTACTTTGGACCTGATTTTATCAAGAAAGCTCGAGAGCAAGGTAGTGCTATTCAGAGTCATTTGAAGGCAGCTCATTATCGTCAGAAAACTTATGCGGACAAGCGAAGAAGACCCTTGCCATTTGAAGTTGGTGACCATATGTACCTAAAGGTATCCCCGATGAGAGGTGTGCATCGGTTTAGAACCCGTGAAAAGTTAGCTTATCGTTATGTCGGATCTTATAAGATTTTGGAGCGATGTGGTGCGGTTGCTTATCGTCTCAAACTTCCGGATATTTTGTCAGCAGTACATAATGTCTTTCATGTTTTCCAACTAAAAAAGTGTTTACGAGTTCCTGAGAAAATGGTGGAAATTGAAGGACTCCCTCTCCAACCTGATCTTTCTTATATTGAGCATCCTGTAAAAATCTTGGATGAAAACGAGAGAGTTACTAGAAACAAAGTGGTAAAAATTTATAAAGTTCAGTGGCAAAACCATTCGAAGGACGAAGCAACTTGAGAGCAGAAGAGTTATATTCTGGAGCATTATCCTCATCTTTTTTTTCGGTGTGCTGAGGTGCTAGTTTATGTTAAAAGCTCACTCTTACCCTTTTTCCTACACCAGACACTCACATGGGGCTCGTTCGGCTGGTTGAAAAACCAGCCAAATTTCACTGTGCGCGGATGAAAAATAATGTTCACTCTCTCATAAATTCCTCCAGATTCATCTAGATTCCTCCAAATTTCTCCCAACGAACAGGACCATAAAATCTTGGGACGAGATTTTATTTAAGGGGGAGAGAGTTGTAACACCATCGGTGTTACACCCTAAATTATTTACTAAAACATGTCATAAGCATCATGTTTATGTGTTAATGCGTGTGATAGAATGTGTAGATAAATTTCTTGTAACTTAAAATGATTAATAAAAATGTTAAACGAAAGTTGGTTTGATAGTTCATGTATATCAAGTAGGATTTAAAACTAATTTTTATTGAACAAAAATGCTATACAACATATATGTGGCGCTTAAATAAAGTTTGGAATTTGAACTTTGAAGATGACAGTGAAATACTTGCTGTTGAAAAATGATATTACTGACTAATATTTCTACTAGCCTAGAAATTGCAAATTGAAATCAAGTTCAGCTCAAAAACTTAGAAAATTTTTTAAGTTTGTCAATAGCTAGACATTGCTATGTTTAGCAAATTACTTTTAAGAGATTAGGTTAAGGGGTGGTGTAGTGTTATAGCTCGATTTGGTAATCTCATATGTCATCTTGAGTATGGTGAAGATGGTTAAGGTCCAGAAGCAAACGTTTAGTTTTTATAGGCGCTTTAAAATTCATGCACGACACGGTTTGGGCTGGTTGGCCGCGTGGGCGCGGTCACCACGCTCGGGCATTCAGCGTCGCCACGCTGACTGTCCTGCGCGCACGTGCGCTGCCGCACGTGGCCGGTCACGGATGCTCTGGCCTGGCTGTGGCCTGGCCGCCGCTGGCTCCTGGCGCGCAGAGCCGCCGCTCCTGCTTGCACAGCCGGACCGTGTTGCTGTCATATCTGTGCCTCACTATGCATCTCTGTGCCGCTGCTGGCCCAGTGCTTTGCCGCCTCTACTGCACGCACATGGTCGGGCTCGTCGTCGTCTTGTCATTAATGGCAATACGGCTCGCGGGCCACGCCAGTCGTGAACGCGCGCGCCTGTCTGCTAGCGCCTACGCGTGGGCCTCCACGATCACATCGACCGCGTCCTACCAAGGCGAGGATGAGCCGAGCCCACCTGTCGTGCCCTATCTCGCTCTTTCTCCCTCCGCTGCCGCCGCCGAGCCACGCCATCTAATTACCCAGCGAACGATCACCTCCATTTAATTCATCGTATCCATGGCTTCACCATCATGTCCTCTCGCTGCCCGACCCTACCCAGCCTTGAAGCGCGCATGGCCAAGCTCCAATTTGGAGTTTCTTCCGCCGTCGTGCTGATAAGGCCGCGTCTGGCCGTGGACGAGGGCAGCCCTCCTACCGTCCCTCCCGATCCAATTCACTTGCACCACCAGCTTTGCCTCACCTCCCTCTCCACCTTGCGCACATCAGTGGAACCGCTACCGCCTCCCCGTCGTCGCAACCGTCACCTCGACCTGGTGCAGGGTAGCCTTCTGATGCTCACTCGCTAACCAATTAGGCCTGTAGCTACCCCAGCCCATCGGAACAGTGGCGCTGCCGTCGTGGATGGCTACGCGCCGCTGCAGCCTTCCCTAGCCAGTCATGTCGCCCCGCACCACAGCTTAGCGTAGCCGCTCGTGTAACAGAACCGACCAAATCATAAGAACGTAAGTACAAAAACAATCACCGAAGCGATCAAATTCCTGTAGTTAAGCTCCCATAATCCCCGTAGTCCGGAAATCACGAAGGATTTCAACCAACTCTCGACATACAAACCAAGACTGTAGTGATTCAACACAACACATCATCCGTTACAACATTTCACAAGTAGCATTCGGATTACATCCATCAGAGTTCAAATAAAATATTACAAACCAAGTTCAAATCTGCGGAAGCAACATAGTTTAGTACATAACTTCATAGTTTCAAATACATTGCTAGATCTTAGTCATGTCCCACAAAAGCATCATCAGGTACGAGAAGTAGTAGAGACCGCGCCCAATGGTCTAGTCTTCATGAGAAGGCAATACTTGCAGCAACCAAAGTAGAACTGGTCATCTGCAACAGGTGGGAGATAAACCCTGAGTATGAGAAGGTACTCAGCTAGACTTACCCGACAAAACCAGAAATAAAAGACACCAAGGATCATGCAAGATTTATGAGGTGGGCTAGCTTGACACATTTGCATAAAAGAGCTTATGAATATAGTGACCAATTTAAACTTAGCATCAAGCTTATCATCATTTACCTGTCCACTAGATTAGCACCTGTACTAGAGCACTCACTTATTAGGAGCAATCAATATTAACCATAGCAGGTATAATAAGACTGTCATCATCATATCATCATTTCCGAACCATTATGTTATTTAGTGCGTCTACATTGGAGATAAGCCCGTCAAGTTCTCACTAACCAGGAGAGACGGCGACTCGAATCGAATTACAACTCAGCTGAGGGGGTATTCCTAACTCTCACCCTGGCATACTTAGCAAGGGTAGCCGTGGGTCACCTTTGGAACAACTCAGGAACCAAATTCGCTGGTTCGATCAGCGCCAGCACTCTTAGGGATTACCCTTCTGCCAGGACGATCAGGACTTTTAAATCACCTGCCCTTCGACTCACGCCTACGGCTCCCTTCCGAGGCGCACTTTATACTTATCGACTCCCGGCCTGAGGGGAGCTACTCGGCTTCGTGGTCGGTCTTCAGACACGGCCAACTAAGAGAGAGGCATGCATTCAACATGAACAGGAAAGGCTCCAAGATTCAGTCCTTAATTGACACAGACGGAGTCACTGCAAACCGGCAAGCCTCCGTCCGGTCTTCATTTCAAATTAAGATTGGTTCTTTTCCACGATAGCAAATATAGCCAACCGTGCCATATGTATCTTCCTATATCTCGCAGGTGACAGGAAATCACCTGACTTCTACCGTGTTTAAGCAGGGCTAAGCACTACACGAGCCTGAGCTACATAGGATTTAGGGTATCAATATCTGGACAAGGATTGGATAATCAATGCAGCAAGTGTTTGCATCCAACACCTAAACTTAATGCAACAATATATATATGTAACAATAATACTTTAACTGTATTTCGAAAATTAGGAGGCTTAATATGCTCCGGGGCTTGCCTTTCACAAAGTTGCATGGACAGTGATCCGGGCACTCAACGACGACCTCGTCTGGCACTTCTCCTGAAGGCTGCTCCTCCTGAATCTCCGGTGTCGGCTGCTGCTGCTCGCTCGGTTCCTCGAATTCCAATAGGGTCACTCCTTCCGGTACACCTATTGCATGCCGATGCACAACATAAATATCATGGATGCATAAGGAATAACATGATGCTCATGATGAATGAATCATAGTAAGTGTTTAACGAAAACATCACTGGACATTCGTTTACCGATTAAGAATAGCTCTATTCAAATCACTTTAAAACGTGTATCTAACTTAACTTAAAGAACAAGATCAACTTACCTAACTTGCATAACCTAAGATAAAGATGCTCATCCTCAGTTAAAGGCCTAACACCTAGGAACATTACCACAAACTTAGAAATTGTAAAGGCATACTTAAAACAACAGTTAAAGTTTCATATGCACACGGGTAGTTCCTTAATTCAATCATAACCAGAGTTCTATAAATTCAAATGACTTGTAAGAGGACATTCTGGAAAGCTTATGAAATTCTCTACAAATCATTTGTAAACATCAAAGCATGATTCTTACGTTAACCAAATCGAATTCCAGTAAACCTAGAATCTATTCAGAAATGACAGGGTTACTAACTTAATTATTTAATGATGGTGCAAAAGCATAATTGGACCAAACCAAGTTTAC